TTTTCTAAGATTCCAGATCCTTCTATGTTTTTTTCAGTGTATGCAAAGAGTGAAATTATTGAGAGGTAAGGGACTGGGTTTCTCTTACTCTGTAAGATTCCAGATGCTTCTGTGTTTGCACACACTGAAAGAAAATGTGAAATTAGTGAATGGTAAAAGACTGGGTTTCTCTTTCTTTTTAAGATTCCAAATCCTTCTGTGTTTTTATATAGTGAAAGAAAATATGAAATTAGTGAGAGGCAAGGGAGTGGATTTCTCTTACTTTGTAAGATTCTGAATCCTTCTGTGTTTGCATACACTGGAAGAAAATATGAAATTAGTGAGATGTAAAAGAGTGAATTTCTCTTACTTTCTGAGGTTCCAAATCCCTCTGTGTTTGCAAACACTGAAAGAAAATGTGAAATTAGTGAGAGATAAAAGACTGGATTTCTCTTACTTTTTAAGATTCCAAAGCCTTCTGTGTTTGCATACACTGAAAGAAAATATGAGATTAATGAGATGTAAGAGACTGGGTTTCTCTTTCTTTTTATGATTCCAAATCCTTCTGTGTTTGCACACACTGAAAGAAAATGTGAAATTAGTGAGAGATAAAAGACTGGATTTCTCTTACTTTCTAACATTCCAAATCCTGTGCTTGCAAACACTGAAAATGTGAAATTAATGAGAGGTAAGGAGCTGGGTTTCTCTTACTTTCTAAGATTCCAAATTCTTCTATGTTTGCACACACTGAAAGAAAATATGAAATTAGGGAAAAGTAAAAGATTGGATTTCTCTTATTTTCTAAGACTCCAAATCCTTCTTTGGTTGTATACACTGAAAGAAAATATGAAATTAATGAGAGGTAAGAGATTGGATTTCTCTTGTTTTCTAAGATTCCAGATCCTTCTATGTTTTTTTCAGTGTATGCAAAGAGTGAAATTATTGAGAGGTAAGGGACTGGGTTTCTCTTACTTTGTAAGATTCCAGATGCTTCTGTGTTTGCACACACTGAAAGAAATTGTAAAATTAATGAGATGTAAGACACTGGATTTCTTTTACCTTCTAATATTCCAATTCCTTCTATGTTTGCACACAGTGAAAGAAAATATGAAATTGATGAGATGTAAGAGACTGAGTTTATCTTTCTAAAATTCCAGATTCTTCTATGTTTGCACATTGAAAAAAAATATGAAATTAGTGAGAGGTAAGGGACTGGATTTTTCTTCCTTTCTAAGATTCCAAATTCTTCTTTGGTTGTATACACTGAAAGAAAATATGAAATTGATGAGAGGTAAGAGACTGGATTTCTCTTGTTTTCTAAGATTCCAGATCCTTCTGTGTTTTTTTCAGTGTATGCAAAGAGGGAAATTATTGAGAGGTAAGACACTGGGTTTCTCTTACTTTCTAAGGTTCCAGATGCTTCTATGTTTGCATACACTGAAAGAAAATGTGAAATTAAAGAGATGTAAAAGACTGAATTTCTCTTACTTTGTAAGATTCCAGATGCTTCTGTGTTTGCACACACTGGAAGAAATTGTGAAATTAATGAGAGGTAAGAGACTGAGTTTTTCTTTCTTTTTATGATTCCAAATCCTTCTGTGTTTGCACACACTGAAAGAACATATGAGATTAATGAGAAGTAAGAAATTGGGTTTCTCTTACTTTCTGAGATTCCAAATCGTTCTGTGTTTGCACACACTGAAAGAAAATGTGAAATTAAAGAAAGATAAGAGATTGGATTTCTCTTACTCAGGTTCCAGATGCTTCTATGTTTGCAAACACTAAAAGAAAATGTGGAATTAGTGAGAGGTAAAAGACTGGGATTCTCTTACTTTTTAAGACTCCAAATCCTGTGCTTGCAAACACTGAAAATGTGAAATTATTGAGAGGTAAGGGACTGGGTTTCTCTTACTTTCTAAGATTCCAAATCCTTCTGTGTTTGCACACACTGAAAGAAAATATGAAATTAGTGAGAGGTAAGAGACTGGGTTTCTCTTACTGTGGTTCCAGATTCTTCTGTGTTTGCACACACTGAAAAAAAATGTGAAATTAGTGAGTGGTAAAAGACTGGGTTTCTCTTACTTTTTAACATTACAAATCCTTCTATGTTTGCACACACTGAAAGAAAATGTGCAATTAGTGAGATGTACAAGAGTGACTTTCCCTTACTTCCGGAGGTTCCAGATGATGATCCTGGTGCCCTTCTTGCCCATGATGGCATCGAGCTCCGCCAGCNCTCTGCTGTCACAAACAGGGACAGCAGTGTCACACATGGCACTCACTGGATCTCCTCGACGGGCAGAGCCAAGGGATATTCCTCGTTTTTCTTGGTTTTCATCTCGTTCCAGTAATCGTTGAGCTTCTCTCCCAGTGCTGCTATCGTGAGTCTGCAAAGGAAAGAATTTAAAGATCACCTTGAATAATCCAACTCTAGCAAAGAAAGAACCTTTATAAACTCCAGTGACAGAAAAGGTTCAGTCAATGTTTGCAATCAACGCCCAACATTTCCACATTAAAATCCACATTAAAAGCACTGCTGGGCACATGGAAAATGCCTTCTCCTGAACAGCCACCAAAGAATATCCAGGAAAAACACGGAAACAAGGTGGTGGGGATATTGTGGGAAAAATTTATAAGGAAAGAGGAGGGCAGACAAAAAATTATCTAAAAACTTTCTGCATTTAAACCAGGTTTGGTGACAACACCAGAAACTTAAGAATAAAAGTTATTCTTTTATTATATTATATTTAAATTTGTTTAAAAATTATAAATTATATAAATATATAAAATATATATATAAATATATAAATATATATATTGTATTATATTATATATATTATATATTATATAATATATTATATTATATATATTATATATTATATATTATATATGTTATATTATATATTATATATTATATAATATTATATATATTATATATGATATATATAAATATAAATAAAAATATATTTTATAAAAATATAAAATCATTTAAAAATTATAATTTATTATATTATATTTAAATACTGCTATTTAAAGGAGCAGCTTTATCAAGTATTTCCAAGTCAATGACAATAAGGGCTAGAAAATGCAGATCAAAATACCTGTATTCATTGGTGTAGTCAAAATCCTGTTTGTTGTGAGTTGGTTTTAGGAAGTTGCACTCAATAATCCCAACAACACCCACACCCATGTTGTTTGCCTGCAAGGAATGAAAGTTTTATCAGGAAAACCAACACAAAATCCATGCCAATATTGCAAGAGTTTGCTGGAGGTAATTATTAACTGTATCTACACTGGGTAAAAAGGATTTTCTGGCTTGTGACTCCTCAGAAAATCTTGAACAAATCCTCTGCTTTACCCCTCTTTTTGTCCTGAAAAATGTGCTCAGATTCACATTTGTATCAAATTCATTTTTGTGTCAAACAGCCTCAAAAGCAAACAACTTAATACAATTTTTAACTTCTGCACACAGTAAAAAAAAAAAGGTGATTTTATAAAGTATACATCAATACCTTGCTTTCCATCCATATTTTTTTTAAACAGGGTTTGAATGGGATTTATCAAGATGTTGAAATATTCAGAAGCTTTAATTTCTTACCTTTAACTGACAGCCAACTCTTTCATAAGCTTTGATGAGTCTGTTTTTGTGGTACATCATTATTCCATAGTGATCTTTGTTCCTGCAGTTAAATCCAAATGTAATTCTGACTGTTTTGGCCTTTGGGCAGATATTAAGGAAAAACAGGGTGAATTTCACAGAACACAAAAAATAAGAGTTACTCTCAGTGGGTCTTAGAGGTAATTGAGATAATTCCTTCAGTAGGAATTAAAAACCAAAAAAACAGAAAATAACCCCAAATTTACCAATAGAACTGAACAAAATCAGGTCACAGAATTCAGTTTTGCAAAGGATACATTGAGAAATTTGGGTCTGTAAATATCCCTCTCAATGAAGGCCAAACTTTTGGAAACCAGCTGAGTTTTCACTTTCTGCCCTCTCAGGATGATCTGCATGGTTGGCTTCAGGTACAAAATACTGCAGTAAGCCTATAAAACAGATTCTGTTAAAATTACAACATTTACACCCTCCAACTTCCAAAAATAATCCAAATTTTCAAGACCCAACACGTACTCTTAGGGAGTAATCACTTTCTGGAACAATCTGGTCCATCCTCTCCTGTTTTTTGTAGCCTCTTTTGCCTGTTTCATCCAAGTCTTCTGGAATTCTGATGTCGTATTTGTCCTTGTCAAAGTCAAATTCTGGTTTGTCATTTTTGTCTCTAAGAATGAAGATGGGAAAATGTATTAATTAAAGGGGGAAAAAATGCAAATACAAGAGGAGGTGTGGTGGTGGAGGCAGGAAAGAAGGGAAAAAGGAGAATTCCTCAGAGATTTGCTAAAATAAAAAATGGGAACTCAAATTGTAAAGTGCACACAGCTTGTTCCAGTTATTCCACACAGAAAGAAATTCGAAATCTTTCTGTGTTTGCACACACTGAAAGAAAATATGAAATTAATGAGAGGTAAGAGACTGGGTTTAGCTTGCTAAAATTCCA